TATATACATATATATACATATGTGTGTATATATATATTTTAGTGGTTACCCTAGACTTTTTGGTATACATTTACAACTAATTTAAGTCCAGTTTCAAATAATCTTTTTATTAAAAATTTTTATTTATTTTTAGACAGAGGGGAAGAGAGGGAGAAACATCAATGTGTGGTTGCCTCTCATGCACCCCCTGTTGGGGACTTTGGCTGTCAACCCAGGCTTGTGCCCTGACTGGGAATTGAACTGGCGACCCTTTGGTTCCCAGGCTGGCACTCAGTCCACTGAGCCACACCAGCCGGGGCCACTTTCAAATAATCTTCTACTGCTTCACAGGTAGTATGGATACTTTTTATTAACAAAATAGTCCTAATTCCTCCCTCCTGTTACTTGTATCATGGCTGTCATTAATTTCACTTCTATATAAGTGTATATCTATCTACACATCAGTATAAATAATCAAATACATTTTTCTATTATTATTTTGAACATGATGCTATTTGATCAATTAAAAATAAGAAAGATAAAAGGTTTTATTTTTACCTTTTCTTTATTTGTTTCTGATGCTTTCTTTCTTTATGTGCATTTAACCAATATTATTTTATTTCTCTGTAAAAAACTCTCAAAAATATCTCTTTTGAGGTGGGTTTATTTGCAACAGTTTTTCTCTTTTTTTTGTCTGAAAAAGTCTGTTTCTTTTTCATTTTTTATGAATAATTTCACAGGGAATAGACTTTTAGGTTTTTTTTTCTCTCTCAACACTAAATATTTCACTTCATTCTCTTCTTGTTCACATGATTTCTGAGGAGAAGTCAGATGTAATTCTTGTATTTGCTCTTCAATTGACAAGGATTATTTTTCTCCTCTGGCTTCTCTCAGGACTTTTCTTTTATATTTGATTTTTTATATTCTAAAAATGATATGCCTGGCTGTAGGTTTTTGTCTGTTTGTTTTGCATTTGATGCTGCTTGGTGTTCTCTGAGCTGTGTGGGTCTGTGGTTAGGGTTCCACCCTGATGGTGGGCAAAGTTTTGGCCATTATTGCTTCACATGTCTCTTCTGTTCCTTTGTGTCCTTCTTTTCTTCTGGAATCCCCATCATGTGTATGTTACACTCATACATGGACTTTTATTGTTGTTTCTTAGTTCTTGGATATTCTGTTCTTTTTTTTTTTTTTTGGTGTTTTTCTTTCTTGTTAACTTTTTCAGCTTTGGAAATTTGTGTTAAAATCCTAAAGCACAAAGATTGTTTTTTCTCAGTCATTTACAGTCTCCCGTTAACCCCATAAAAGATGTTCTATATTTCTGTTACAATGATTTTTATCTCTAACATATCTTTTTGGGTCTTTCTTGGAATTTCCTTCTCTCTGCTCACATTATCAGTCCTTGCACATTGTCTACTTTATCCATAAAGACCCTTCGTGTATTAATTGTACTTGTTTTAAATTTCTGATCTGTTCATTTTAACAGTGCTGTAATATGTGAGTCTGGTTCTGATTTTTTTCTGTCTCTTTAAACTATGATTTTTGCCTTTTACTATGTCTTGTTAATTTTTTCTTGATAGCCAGACATGCTGTATGGGGTAAAGGAATTTCTGCAAATAGGCCTTTACTTACACAGTGATGAGGTATGGAGCAGGATGCATCTGTCACCCTAGGATTAGGTTTCAGTCCTTGGTGCCCCTAGGCCTCCTGCAAGCCTCTCAGAGTTCACATTCCCTGTCTTGTTAGTGAAACAGGCCCCCACAGGGGCTCATACTGAGGACTCCTTTCTCTGAGGTCAGTTAAGCTGTGACAATATCCCAGCAGAGCAGGTTTTGAGTAACCAGTCTCTCCTGTGAATAAATCCTGTTAAGAAGAACAGAGTTCTTTTCCCCCTCCTCCTACTAAAAGCAGAAAGAGATAAAAAAAAAACATATTTTATTGATTATACTATTACAGTTTTCCAATTTCCTCCCTTCATTCCCCTCCACCCTGCACACCCTCTCCCACCCACATCCCCCTGCTTTAGCTCATGTCCATGTGTCATAAGTTCTTCAGCTTCTACATTTCTCATATTATTCTTACCCTCCCCTGTCTATTTTTTATCTACCATCTATGCTACTTATTCTCTGTACCTTTTCACGCTCTCTCCTCCTCCCACTCCCCTGTTGCTAACCCTCCATGTGATCTCCATTTCTGTGGTTCTGTTCCTGGTCTAGTTTTTTGCTTAGTTTCTGTTTTTGTTTTAAGTGTGGTTGTTAATAATAATTGTGAGTTTGCTGTCCTTTCACTGTTCATATTTTTTATTTTCTTTTTCTTAGATAAGTTCCTTTAACATTTCATATAATAAGGACTTGGTGATGATGAACTCCTTGAACTTGACCTTATCTGAGAAGTGTTTTATCTGCCCTTCCATTCTAAATGAAAGCTTTGCTGGATAGAGTAATCTTGGTTGTAGGTCTTTGGTTTTCATGACTTGGAATACTTCTTTCCAGCCTCTTCTTGCCTGCAAGGTCTCCTTTGAGAAATCAGCTGACAGTCAGGTGGGAACTCCTTTGTAGGTTACTGTCTCTTTATCTCTTGCTGCTTCTAGAATTCTCTCATTTTAATCTTGGCTAATGTAATTATGGTGTGCCTTGGTCTGTTCTTCCTTGCGTCCAACTTCTTGGGGATTCTCTGAGCTTCCTGGATTTCCTGGAAGTCTATTTCCTTTGCCAGATTGGGGAAGTTCTTCTTTATTATTTGTTCAAATAAGTTTCCCACTTGTTGCTCTTCTTCTTCCCCTTGTGGTACCCCTATTATTTGGATGTGCACTGTCTTCCTTGGCCTGGAGGGTCCCCTTATTTTCCCACCCCTAGCTTCCATCTAGGAAGCACCTTCTTCTCAATCTTGAAGTAATTTCTTTCATCCTCTGTCTTTTTCCATTTAAAAGAACAAATAAAAACAGCACCCGTATCTTGGTTTAGTAATGACTCAATGAGTTGATACTATTAAAAGTCATCATCCCTTGCTAGGTACGTAGTAAATGTTCAACAAATGTAAAATCTTCCTCAGTTTTTTTTTTTTTGTGAGACTTTTTTTCTGACATAAGGTATATATCATTATTAAAATTTAGAAAAACAATATTTTTAAGTTAATATGGTGAATGAAATGATATCTGTGCTAAGTAAATGTGCAACACTGTTGAACAGATCAGTTGAAACCAAGATACATGATGTTGGTTGCCATGCTCTGACCTAGTGGATTGGTTGGGAGGACTTGCTTGTTCAATTTTCTCAACAGTTCATTATGTGCTGGGTACTCTTCCTTCAGTTTCAGTGATTGCCAACATTTTGATCATTCAGATGTGAGTTATTCCTAACAACCTCTTCATCTAATTGTGACTGCTACCACTTCACCATGTTCCTCAAACATCTGTTTCAAAGTCCCTTCTAGTCCTTTTTCTGGAAATAGTGTTGATATTCGCTATTCTATAACTTTCAAAATATTCTTTCCTTCCCTTTTTGATGCCTGTCTCCAGTATCCTGGGATGTTCTCCATTTTGCCAGTTGCTTAGTCTGTTTGAGCTGCCATAACAAGACTACCATAGACTGGGTGGCTTAACCAATGAACATTTATTTTTCACAGTTCTGGAGGCCAGAAGCACAAGATCACAGCTCTGACACAGGACCCAGTTCCAAATGAGGGCTCTTCAGGCCCACTGTCACTTTCCCACTGAGTTCTTTCCCAGTGTGGGGCAAGGGAGCTCTTGGAGTCTTGGTTAGAAGGGCACCAATCCTACATTGAGGTCCCCACACTGAAGACCTGATCAAACCTCCCAAAGGCCTCTTAATGCCATCACACTGGCAGTTACAAATTTCCCATATGGGTTTTAGAGGGATACAAACAGTAGGTCTGTAACAGTTAGTAATCCTGCACATTCCTTCTGCATGTTCACTAAGGACCTGTGGTGAACTTAGCTGGAGACAAGGCTTACTAGGAGCCACTTGTGACTCGCTTGGTTTCTGCTCATCCCTCCTGGGTCCACTTCCTTCTCCATCCTGCTGACTCTGTCTTTTTTGCTCTGACTTAGGAGAAGATGGAGAGCAGGGGGCAGATCAGCACTTTATTTCCTTGACAATCTGTTCATGCTCCACAGTCTGAATGACTTCTTTCTGTGTTCTCATTCTTCCTGATTTTCAGACCCATTAGAGCTCAACAACATGTGATTATTAAAAATTCTGGTATAAAGATATGTGATTATATGAGATGTTCTTCAACCAAGGTCTCCGGCCTCACACATGTGCCTTTCTGTAACTGTGTCCCACCCTCTGAGTGCTATGCAGGAGTGGAAGCTCTCTATTCCAGGGCCCTCATGCTCTTGTTGGGTAAGAAAATAAGCTCACTTGACCCAAAAGTAGTGCATCCAAATCCTAATGCCACAAAGTGCAATTCACAGCCAGGCCTTTATGCCTCCAGGGGTGCTTATAGCAAAGTCAGTGTGCTATGGACAGGTGGGCAGCAGGCAGCAGCGACCCTAGAAAACTTAAATCTGGGCTCCCTCTCCACCATGCACTTGCTCTTTGACCTTAAGAGAAACACACAATTTTATGAGCCTGAGATTTCTCATCTGTAAAAAATATGTAATACTGACTATTGCATGGCCACCTTGCCTGGCTGATGTAAGAATCAAGTGAGGCAGGTCTCTGCAGTGCTGTGGGACTACCTGAGATGGAAGAAGCAGTGAAGAGGAGCATTCTCAGCTTGTGGGCCTCTGTGTGAGGAGGAGGACCGTGGAGGTGTCTGGCTGAATTTGCTTTTACTCTCTCTTCTTCTGACCCCAGCACAGTCTCTGCTGAGACTATCACTTGTGTATCTTGTGGGACCAGAGACAGGGATTTGTGTTTCCTCAGGTTATCTGTGGGGCTGGCTCAGACATCTCTGAGGAAGTATGCAGCTTTTCTGATAAGATGAGGCTCCATGGTGACAGAGCCATGTGGTGTCCAAGGAAGGCTGCACCCTGAGGACTTGTCCTGCTTCCTCTACAGGCTGGTGAAGGTGGGCCTTACATCCGGTTGTTGTCTGGCTCTGTCCTCGGTGCTCAGTTCTAACCAGAACCTCACACACCTTTACCTGCGAGGCAATGCTCTTGGAGACATGGGTGTGAAGCTGTTGTGTAAGGGACTCTTGCACCCCAACTGCAAGCTTCAGATGTTGGAGTAAGTTTCTTAGCTTGTCAAAATGATGGGAGGATGGTGGGGTCGGGGTTGGGGAAGTGATGGTGAGTTCATCGGTACCTAAGAATGAGTACGACCAAACCACGGGTATGGGGCTGGGGGCTCTCCCTCCAGGTGGCTGATGGTGAGGGCTAGGGCTCTACTTATCACCAACCTCTCTACCACCAAGAGAGTGTGCATGGTGTGGATCTTGTACTCTAAGGAAATTTAGGGGGAGACACCAAATTTGGGAAAAATCAATTCAGAAACTGCTACTGCTGCTTGGATCTGGATAATCCAGTAGCCTGGGGGGAAAATACTCTCATCTGCAAAGAATAACCATGGCACATACAATTACTCTGGGCTTGTTCATCCTGCACTTTTTATTTGAAACATTACAGGCCAAGCTCGGGGAGACCTGGGGGAGGGTAAGGGGATGTTTTCTTTGAACTGCTCTCTTTCTTGCAGACTAGACAACTGTAGCCTCTCCTCACACTGCTGTTGGGATCTCTCCACACTCCTGACCTTCAACCAGAGCCTGAGACAGCTGAGCCTGGGCAGCAATGACCTGGGCGATCTTGGGGTCATGCTGTTCTGTAAAGTGCTGAGACAGCAGAGCTGCCTCCTGAAAAGCCTTCAGTAAGTGCTCCCTGCAGGGGGTGAGGGCCACTTACCAAAAACCAAGGTGGTTTTTTGTACTCAGGTAAACGGTGGGCCTGGGCTAGCTGTTGCAGATACTTTATAAAAATGATAGAGAAGTTATGAACTACATATTCTACTTCATTCAGACATTGAGAATATTCAAGGGTCAGTTGGAATGAAAGGACTTTCACATTCTTAAAAGAAATGTAAGGCCCAGTGAAAGTAGCCAAATGGAGTTGTTCCTCTGCAGGGGCTTGGACTTCGCAGACCTAGACCTGTCTGTGGTTCATCCTGATTGCAAAGGTCTTGTCGTGGAGGGTGTTGTTGGTCTTGTTTATGAGGATTTCTTAAAGGAGAGAGAGTGCCTCAGAAACAGCAAGGAGGGAAGTTCCATCACATTCAGCCAGCTCAGTGTGGGGCGGCCACTGGCTCCCTTTAGTGCCAGGATCCCCTGGAGAGGCGTCTACCTCTCTAGGAAGAGCTTCTGGGAGCACACCCCAAGGCCACGCCTCCACTGCACAAGGTTCCTTCCTTGGCTGTTGAGACCACACGCTGTCCTTGGTATTTCCCCCTACTTCATAGCTGTTTCTGCTCAGTCTTCTTTTTTGCTTATCATTGTCCTGATATCTACATGCTGAATTCCCTGGGACTCAACCATCATCTCATTTTTCTTCTCTACATTTTCTCCTTCATACATATTGTCCAGTTTTCTGGCTTTACCCTACATGTGCTGTACCCCCCCAGTTTATATCTCCATGAATACCATGTCCAAATGCTTATCTGCCCCACCCACTTGGGTGTCTGATAAGCCTCCCAGATTTACATGTTCAAATCCAAACCTGGGCCATTCCACTCTGAAGCTGCTCCTGGTCTCAGTCTGGTAACCATCTGAACTTCTCATGCCAGAGAAGGCTGATGCCACCTTTGATACCCCTCTCCCTTCTGCTCATTCACTCTGTAGGCATGTTCTGTGCGCTCTGCTCCCACAGCAGACCCGCTCATTGACCACCTCTTGCCAGCTTCATGGTTCTCACCCCAGTTCAGGCTGCCATCACCTGTCTGGATTGTCACGCTGGCTTCTGACAGACTCCTCCGCATCTATTTTCTTGCCATAGAAGAGGGAGTGTGCATCTGAAACAGGAGTCCCCTCTGCCAACATGTACCAGGGACTTCCTGTTATATTCCCAGAGAGTGCCAAAGGACCCGTGTGACCTAGCCATGCTGTTTCTGCAAACTCATTCTCTTCTGGCCCTGTTCCTTCTGCTCCTTGCACACTGGCCTCCTTGTGCTGTTACACAGACATGTCCTCCCTGAACTTCCACCTACTGTTTCCTCTGCCTGGAACTCTCCCCTTGGAATATCCATGTGCCTCATTCCCGCACCCTTCACTGTTCTGCCAAATGATCTTCCTCAGAGCAGGTGATTCCTGCCATCCTGTCGAGAACACCAGGCCAGCGCACTTTCTTCTTCCCTTCTTGTTTCCCCCCAGTGTTGACCACTGTCATGCGCACTAGGCAATTTTCTCGTTTATTTGTCATCTATGTCCTGCCCCGGGAATATAAATTCTATTAACCCAGGGACCTCTGTCCTTGTCCATGACCTCAAGGCCAGAACTGACTGGAATGCAGGTTTGAACAGAAGTTTGAGTCAGTATTGCACCCTTGGTCCAACACAGTGGAACATCTTTGCTACAGGAAAAGCCAAATGCCCCAGAGCTAAGAGAACTGGAGGAACAGAGGGAGGGATTGAGCAGGATGAACCAGGCTGTTGCTGCATGGGGTCACTGACCCAGACCTCAAGGTTACTCTGAGGATAAGGGACAGGCTCCAGATAGACTGGGGCATCCACGGATGCAGTCAGCCTGTCCTGCCACCTTGGCTGCCACAAAAAATAGCACAGATGGGGTACCTTGAACAACAGACCTTTATTTCTCACAGTTCTGGAGGGAGGACACTCCAGGGTCTGCCTGCTTGGTTTCTGGGGAAAGCTGTCTCCTGAGTTGGTAGTGGGTACCCTTGTGCTGTGTCCTCTTATGGCAGAGAGACTGAGAACACTGATATCACCTCCTAGAGGAACACTAAGTCCATCATGAGGACCAACCCAGTGACCTGTGTAACCCTAATCACCTCCTGAAGGCTCATCTCCAAATACCAGCATATCGAGTTTAGGGCTTCAACATAGAAATTTTGGAGGAGCATAAGCTTTCAATCCACAACAAAGTCAAATCACAGTTGTTAGAAATGAGGCAGGACAAATGGCATGATTTCTCAGCTAAGCGGCAAGGAAAAGTTTAAAAAAGAGAGGGAGAGAGAATTTATGTTTAAGAAGACTTGAGAGGCATAACAAGCAATTTCAATGTGTGGACTTTATATGGCTCCTGATAAATGAACATGATATAAAAAAATGACCAGATAGTTGAAGGACTTTATTTACTTATTTATTAAGATTTTATTTATCTATCTTTAGAGGGGAAGGGAAGGAGAGAGGGAGAGAAATATCAATATATGGTTTCCTCTCATGTGTCCCCTGCTGGGAACTGGCCTGCAACCCAGGCATGTGCCCTGACTGGGAATTGAACCACGATCCTTTGGATTCAGGCCTGCACTCAATTCGCTGAGCTATACCAGCCAGGGCCAGTTGAAGAACTTTAAACCTATTGGACATATGTTGATATTAAAGAATTATTGTTAACTTTTTAAGCTGTGATAATGGCATTGTGGTTATGTTTAAAAAGTTCTTTATTTAGTGTCATTCCATGAACTATTTATAGGTGACATGCTGTCTTTAACTGAAACAGGATTGGCTGTTAATTGTCGGACTTGCGTAACAGGCATAGGGGATTTATCACACTATTCTCTCTATGATTGCATATGTTGAAACATTTTCAGACTTGAAGGTTCAAACAGAACACAAACCATATTAGGTAGGAAGTGCAGTTATTGAAGCATTGAGAAGTGTGAAAGAATGCGGGAAGTGAACTGAGAAGTTTAAAGCCAAGGCTCCGAGAGTGTTCATTTGAAAAGTGTAACTCCAGACTCTCTGTTTGCTTTTACAGGTTGTGTAAAATGTATTTCAATTATGAGACAATCTGCGCATTAGAAACACTTCAAGAAGAAAAGCCCGAGTTGACTGTTATCTTCGAGTCTCCTCGGTAGTGCTGGCAGTGGGGCTGCCAGACCCCAGTGGCCAAGCCCAGCCAGCCCTGGGTGCATGGGTGTGAGGGAGCATGCGTCCAGCCTCGCCCTGTCTGGAGGAAGGCCGGCACTCTGCAGTCCTCAGCCATGTAGGAGGGCGAGCTTGCCACCAGTGTCTTTGAGAGAGACTGGGAGCATCTCCTTACCCCAGGCTAAGGCTCAGGAGCAACAGAACTGTCCCCATGGTGTGGTTCTTGGTGCAGCACTTAGAGGATGGGCTCCTCTTGGTGTAACTAACTCATTCACTAAAGCACTTTGTCCATCTTCTTCTTCCTCTTTTTACTGTCTCCAAATTGCTTCCCCTCATGTGTGTTCCCCTATTTTGTTCTGTTCATCCTGTCATCTTTTTCTTAACTGACCAGAAGGGAATTAATTCGCTATATATTATGCTGCAATTTTGTGGCAGCAACTTATTTATTTTTAATTTTGTAAGAGTGATATTTTCTAATAAAATAATTCACATTTATTGGACCTGGTTGTATTTATTAAATTGTTTTCTTTCTTCAATTTTAAAAAGGAGTGCCTAGAGATCTTTTTACTTATTTACCTAAGCTACAAAAGATAAATTAAATTGCTTTATAAATTAAAAAATCTCTTTTCCAAATGATTTGATTATAATGAATGGAAAATGGAGTCTGCTTACTCTAAATCTAAAGGTGGAAATGTTAGCTGTGGTTGGAGAGGAGGCTGAAAATTAGAGGAATGAAGGCTTTAGAATCAATGGAGCCAACACTTAGAGGCAGAACCAGCATGTTTGCCTTCAGTTATAAGAAATCATCTGGGATTTACTTCATCCCAGGAGCATTTAATCTACCATACTTCACATGGCATTAAATCATCAGTAAATATTGCTAATTGCTTCTCTACACATGGGGCAACTCAACCACATGGAATTAGTTACTTAGGTGGAAATACTACTTCCTCTGTCAAATGGCTGACCAGACCTCAGCGACCCAGAGTATGGCCTGTTGATGGAAGGGGCTTGTGCAACAATGTAAATCAATGACATCACCAATTTACAGTTTTGCTTGTTTTGTAGGTAAGCTGACTTCTCTTCATGGTAAAGCTTTCTTGGTAAAGGAAGCAGTATGTGACTTATATTTGGGTTCAAACTCTTTATCCTGTCTAGAGCCAGCACTGGAAGTAACTTGGATCTAGATATTGGTTTTTGCATCTCCATGAAATGAGCTACAGAAGACTGCCTCCCTGGTACAGACACTTCAACCTGCAGATAAAATGTATTAAAAACAAATCAATGCTTGAAATAGGAAAAAAAAAACCCCAACTTCTGGGCACTAGGAACCAAGATGGGTTCCAAGCTTACTCCATTAGTGACCCAGAGGACTATGTAAATAGATACAAAAACCCCACAATCTAACTACTTTAAAAAATCATTTTATTTTTCAATTAAAGTTGACATACATTATTGTATTAGTTGCAGGTTTACACCCCAGTGATTGACATTTGCATAACTTACTAAGTGATCATCTCAATAAATCTAGCACCTATCTAATGCATAGTTATTACAATATTATTGAGTATGCTCTCCATGCTGTACTTTATATCCCTGTGACTATTTTGTAACAACCAATTTGTACTTCTTAGTCGCTTCACCTCTTCCACCCATTCTTCCATCCCCCCTCCCATTTGGCAACCATCAAACTGTTTTCTGTATCAATGAGTCTGTTTTGGTTGTGCTTATTTGTTTTGTTTTTTAGATTCAATTGTTGATAAATACATATTTATTGCCATTTTATTGTTCAACTTTATGATCTTTTTCTTTTCCTCCCTCTTAAAGAAGACACTTTAACATTTTATGTAACACTGGTTTGGTAAGGATGAACTCCATTAGCTTTTTCTTGTCTGGGAAGCTCTTTATCTGCCTTTTGATTCTAAATGATAGCTTTGCTGGCAGAGTAATCTTGGTTGTAGATCCTTGCTTTTCAACACTTTGAATATTTCTTGCCAGTCCCTTCTAGCCTGCAAAGTTTCTGTTGAGAAATCAGCTGACAGTCTTATGGGAGCTCACCTATAGGTAACTAACTGCTTTTCTCTTGCTGCTTTTAAGATTCTCTGTCTTTAACCTTTAGCATTTTAATTATGATGTGTCTTGATGTGAGCCTCTTTGGGTCCAACTTGTTTGGGACTCTCTGAGCTTCCTTGTATGTTGAATGCCACTTTTATAAAAAATGACCTAATTTTCCAACTGAAAACTGAGCACATTGTATATAAACCAGGCATAAGACTCCAAGTAGAGAAGAAGTCAGACCAGCTGGAGACCTCAGGACCCAAGAACAATATGTCAGTGAGGTCACCAGGTTTGTTTGCTTGCTTGTTTTGGATACATAAATACAGACTTGAAGCTGAAGAAGCTCTTTTCAACAAGCAATACTGGAGCAATTGGACATCCAGATATTAAATAAATAAACCTTGACTTAAACCTATAACTTTGGGTAGGAATTAACTCCAAATGGATCATGGAGTTACATCTAAAGCGTACAACAAAACTTAAAAAAAAACAACATGGAATAAAATTTCTACAGCTTGGTGAAAGGATTTTAAATATGACACTGAATGCATGATCCATAAAAGGAAAAAATGGTAAATCAGACTTCATCAAAATTTAAAATCATTGCTGTGTGTTTTTTGTTAAAATGATGAAAATTCAATACACCAGCTGGGGAAATATTTCTCAACCACATACATATCTGACAAAAACATATCTAGAATATACAAGAAAATCTCTAACTCATCAAGAAAAGCCAATTAGAAAATAGGTAAAATATAGGATGCATTGAAAATGTTATGCTTAAGCAAGATGAAAAATATTTATTATTAATAGCCATTAGGAATATTCTAACTAAAACCACAGTGAGATGTCATTGCACATCTGTCAGAAGGGCTAAAATTTTTAAAAAAAGTGACAACACCAAGTGCTCTTGAAGGTGCAGAGACCTGGGATCGCTGATGTGTTGCTGATGGAGACAATAAATTGTCCAGCCATTTTGGGAAGGATACATCAGTCCTTATAAAGCTAGACTTGTGTTAACTATATGACTCAGCATTTATCCCAGAGACAGCAATCCTACTGAATACACAAAAGGACTTCCGGCCAAGATGGAGGTGTAGGTAAACACACTGTGCCTCTTCCCAAAACTGAAAAAAGGACAACAACAATTTAAAAACAAAAAACAACCAGAAATGACAGAAAATCAAACTGTATGGAAGTCTGACAACCAAGGAGTGAAAGAAGAAACATTCATCCAGACCAGTAGGAGGGGTGGAGTTGGGAAGCCAAGGCAGAGAGGACTTTCAGCAAGGCGGTGGCTGGCAGACCAGGCAGTCCCACATTCACAAGCAGATAAACCAGGTGAAACAAAGGGGGAACAGGATGGACTGCACAATCCAGGGCTCCACCTCAGGGAAATAAACCCTCAAAGCCTCTGACTGAAAACACCTATGGGGGTTGAGGCAGCAGGAAAAACTCCCAGCCTCACAGGAAAATTCACTGGAGAGACCCACAGGGTCCTACAACTTACACAAACCCACCCACATGGGAATCAGCACCAGAAGGGCCCACTTTGCTTGTGGGAAGTGAGGGAAGTGACTGAAATCCTGCAGAGTGGAGCAAGCGCCATTGTTTCCTCTCAGACCCCTTCTCCACCTATAGCGTCACAACACAGCTACATGGGTTGCCCCGCCCAAGTGAACACCTAAGGCTCTGCTCCTCACTACTTAACAGGCATGTCAAGACAAAAAAAAAATAGCCCAAATGAAAGAACAGATCAAAGCCCCAGAAAAAATACAACTAAGCAATGAAGTAGCCAACCTATCACATACACTCTTCAAAACACTGGTGATCAGGATGCACACAAAACTGGTTGAATTTGGTTGCAAGTTAGATGAGAAAATGAAGGCTAAACTAAGTGAAATGAAGGGAAATATACAAGGAACCAATAGTGATGGGAAGGAAACTGGAACTCAAATCAATGGAGTGGACCAGAAGAAAGAAAGAAACATCGAATCAGAAAAGAATGAAAAAACAAGAATTCAAAAAAATGAAGAGAGGCTTAGGAACCTCCAAAATATCTTCAAATGTTCCAATATCCAAATCACAGGGGTGCCAGAAGGAGAAGAAGAAGAGCAACAAATGGAAAACTTATTTGAACAACTAATAGAGAAGAACTTCCCCAATCTGGCAAAGGAAATAGACTTCCAGGAAGTCCAGGAAGCTCAGAGAGTCCCAAAGAAGTTGGGCCCAAGGAGGAACACATCAAGGCACATCATAATTACATTAGCCAAGATTAAAATGAAGGAGAGAATTCTAGAAGCAGCAAGAGATAAGAGGACAGTTGCCTACAAAGGAGTTCCCATCAGACTGTCAGCTGATTTCTCAAAAGAGACCTTGCAGGCAAGAAGGAGCTAGAAAGAAGTATTCCAAGTCATGAAATCCAAAGACCTACATCCAAGATTGCTCTATCCAGCAAAGCTTTCATTTGGAATGGAAGGACAGATAAAGCGCTTCTCAGATGAGGTCAAGTTAAAAGAGTTTATCATCACCAAGCCCTTATTATGTGAAATCTTAAAGGGATTTATTTAAGAAAAATAAGGTAAAATATATATACAGTAAAATGACAGCAAACTCACAATTATTGATAACCACACCTAAAAGAAAAACAAACTAAGCAAACAATTAGACCAGGAACAGAACGACAGAAATGGAGATCACATGGAGGGGAGTGGGAGAGGGAGAAAGGGGGAAAAGATACAGAAAATAAGTAGCATAGGTGGTAGGTAGAAAATAGTCGGAGGGGGGGGGCCAGAATAGTATGGGAAAAGTAGAAGGTAAGGAACTTGTGTGTATGATGCACGGACATGAACTAAAGGTGGGGAATGTGGGTAGGAGGGGGTATGCAGGGTGGAGGGGAGTGAAGGGGGAAAATGGGACAACTGTAATAGCATAATCAATAAAATATATTAAAAATACACAAAAGCCTGTTTATAAGTGTTCCTAGCAACTTTATTCATAATGGCCTCAAACTGAAAGCAACCCAGATGCCCCACCATGGGATACTATTTGGCAATAAAAGGAACAGACCATTTATAAAAGGAACACCCCGCAATTTGGATGAATCTCCAGGGAATTATGCTGAGTGAAAAAAGCCAACCCTGAAAGGTTGCATACCCTGTGATTCTAGTTGTAGAAAATACTTGAACTGACAAAAATGCAGCAACACAACAGATGAGTTGCTGCCAGGACTTGGAGGGGAGTGACGGCACTGTGAGGGAAGCCAGTGCAGCTTGCAGAAGAGAATGTACACAGAGCCACTTTGAAATGGAGCCAGAGCTCCCACCCCACAAGGATGGCCTTGCATGTCATATGCCTTGGATTTTTGGGGTATTGAAACAGGGCAAAGTAATTTTCAG